GTTGCAATCACCATATCTGGGATGGCCGAAAAATAATCCGGTCAGAAGCCAAGTCCGGACAAAGGAAGCCTAGTGCTCTAGACGAATCAAGCGTAATTCCCATATTATCAATCTCGGCTAAAGATTGCTGAATTATGGCTGCAGGGCGCAGCCAGTAAAATGACCGACTGTGCCGCATGATAAGAAAGAGCTCGACACGCCTTCCGGAAGCCATGAAACGGGAAGCCCATTAAAAAACAAGGCCTGTTTTTGGAGGTTTCATAATTACCCTTGTTATATCAGTTTGTCCGACTGAGACCGTAGTATATTCGCCTAGTCCCTGTGACTATCGCGGGAAATTCGAATCCAAAAAGAAGGAACCGATTACGAAACGAAACCAGACCCTCTTATTGTATGTATACGGGAGATACTTCTAGCATTCCAAATTGAAATTCAGCGTGCATACATTGATTTATGAGGCTGTTTTTCTATTACCGACAGTTGTGCCGCAATTCATATTAATTAGGGGGTAGTACTACGTACGAAGCAGACTAGATAGTCTGCACGGTTCATTCCACTTTAAATCATTTAGATAGACCCCCGGAACACACATAGTGTGGCTGGAATCAACTTGTTATTTCATTTCCCATCGGAATAGCTGCTTGCTGCATGGCAAGTAATTTGAATGTAACGCCCAAGTCAGCCCGCCAATGAGGTAGAATGCGTGAATATTACGTATATGCAGGGAATCGTTAAAAATTTATGATTCGGGTAATCTCGCTGCTCTAAAAGGTACTTTTCACAAGCCACTTTTATTTAGAAGAAACATGGATGTGTGTTATTGTTGGAATCCGCGTATTAGTTAATAAACGGGTAACATAGGTTACTATACAAAATTAGTATGTACGTTGATGTGTGATTTTTTCATGACTATGTTGGGCACCCACGTCGCCCTTTATACTCCTTCTTTTCCCCTTTTCCGTGGATATCTGCCAAGACGCTGATATGCAATTTACAGCCTCTTATTGGCTGAAAGCCTTGACAGCTTTGAGATTAGCTTCGGTCATATTATCAGGCTTCCAACAGTTATCTAACTCACTCGCTGAAATCACTAGCGTTGACATGGTCTAGCGGCAGGGCTAAATTAGTGCGGCGCAGGCAAGCTTTGCTAGTCTGGCTGGCAGAAATTTTGAATCGTCCGAGGTCTACTCCGTACGGAGGTGAGAGTCAAAAGTTGTTGGCATTGCGCTAAATATTAGCCCTTACGCTAGTCTTACATATAGCAATTTGATCGTTTCTTTTTCTAAGGCTAAACTCAAAATAGCTAGATGGAAGGTTTATGAACGAATGAGGGAGCTTCTCTATTTTTCTAGCTGTAATTAATTATGATGTACATAGTACATTTCTATTGTTTAATTAGTTCATCTTGGCATTGCCAAAACTTTTGACTCCCACCTCCGGACACTTTGAAGATGTAGCCCCACCTAGTGTATTGGGCTAGGATAAATCTTGGCCACAGCGACCGCAGCTCCGGGCGCCTAGTCTTCGCACTTTTCGGAGCCTTAATCCACGTCTATTATTATACATAATAAATACGTCCATGATTAGTCCCTTCTACTGCTGAGATAGTCAAGGGTTAATACGTCCTTGTACTGCGTAGTAGTACGAGCAATCATAAATTCTCATGTAACGGTGTGAATATCCTTTGAAACATTGGGTTTTAAGTTTTCACTGAAAGCCACCAAAAGACGGAATTAACTGTCGTGCGTCGCGATTCACTCTTGACTGGTGGACCGCTGGAAGTGTCCATCCGGAGGTCACTGGTTTTGTCATCGTATGGTTCATACGCTCTCAAATCCAAAGTGACCTTTCCGTTTTGGTCGTAGTATAATTTAGCGTCATGCAGGTTGATTCGTAACAGGTGTCGGGGTCCTACTCTCTTTGATTGCTTGGACCCTGCGCCAAGCGGGACTAAACTATTTTTAAAGAAACGCCAAGACAGGTCCACTTCGCCGTATCACGTATGGTATTGTACCGGAGGTCCTTCGTGGAAAGTCACCTTCTCGTGGTGAGGGACGTCAGTAAGCTAGATTGCAGGGTCTAGCTGAAGCTGAGAACTTTCCAAATCGAAACTTCAGCGATAAACCCATTATTGGTTGCTCGCGTACATAATGAACGTGGCCTACTTAGCCATGGTCTTTCGTGACTGCCACGTAAGTATTACTAGAATCCATACTGGGAGAACGTCAAGTTATTTTGTCCTATGGCGTTTGAAGAGACAAGAGCGTGACACCTCACCTGGCCAGTTGGTTGGGACAAAGCTGTCTCTTTGTTAATAGTTTGTTTGGTTTGCAATGAACAAACCAGAAAGTTCTACGTATTTACGATACAGAAAGTAATACCGATGGGTGTATACCTATGTTCGATACTTCATGTAAATTACTGAAATAACAGGCTAAACCTAGTATGGTCTGAATTGCGGGAGTGGCGCTGGGAAAGAGTCGAAGAGTTGCAACTGATGTAAAAACCGTACTTGCAAGGCGCTGTAGATCGGACAATAAGATTAGATGCAGTAAATAAGAGCAAGTACATACGGAGTGTAAGGCTATGATGTACCAATCTGGCAATTCCATAATCAGTCACAGTACATACATGTTGGACCACTCATCATTTCTGAATAAGCCCGATGTCAACGAATCATACACCGAAGTCAATCGGAGAAGGCAGGAAATACAGTGGACTTGAAGGGGGAAATGAAGCATTCAACCAACTTTGAAGGATTGTATCTGACGTCGTTAGTTTTTAATCTAGTTTTGTTTTCTGGCAATAGGACGTCCGTTGAAAAGGTAGGATGCAGGAGACACTGCTCTGGCATGCAGCGTTAAGCATTGTAATGGGCGGAAATCGATAATCTGAGTAGGCCCAGCTCAGCCGTGTATCTAAGAAAAGCGTGGAAGTGTCTACCTGTCAAGTCTTCCAGTCTACTCAAGGCTTCGGCATACCGCCGATAAGCGATTGCTTCTTCCTCCTCCGTGACCACAAAACCTTTTTCGACTTGACGGCGGAGAAGCAGAATCTGGTTATGAGCTTTTTCGAGCTTGCGGTGACTTCTCCAAGCCTCTAAAGAGCAGGACCAGCCAAGGGATTTGAAGGCCGCCTGGTTCATGCGTCCCCTCTCCCCTAGCCGTTCTAGGAGTGGCCACTCATAGAATTTTCTAATTTGTTTCCAGTCTGATGTCTCATTAGAACATGATTTCGGGTAAGAGGAGACTAACAGACCATATCTCACGTAAAGTAGAGGCTCCTGTAGGCAATTTGGGATGGAAGAGTCGACCATTTTCATCTGCTCATGAAGGAGACAATATCACCAGGCAAGCGGATACCAGATGGCATCATCGGGGGTTTTATCATAAGGATTCAAGGTATGAAATAGCGCTTGTTCCGAACCTGGCGCATTTGTCGTGATTCGAATTTGGAAACGATAAGGTGAAGCCGGAGTGTTGCACTACATTCAACCGATCCGACAGTATCGTCCCCGTTCGGTGTCACTAATAAGTTGTTCCTATTTGGTGCCCTTACGGAACCTGTTTACTGTCTATCTCCGAGAAGTATAACCAGTTTATGAAAAGAGGTTATAACGGACTTACCGTCAAAATCACGGAGTGGAGAAAACACAAGCAAGATCAATAATAGGATTCGGAAACCATTTATGGAAGTAGCCTAATAGAATTCCAAATATATATTTGGAATCTCCCGACCACGATATGATGGATAAGCTAGAAGTTTTGCAAGGAAAAACACTAGCACCTAAATTGCTCCTCATAGTGAACATTCATTCAATAATTCACCACGCATCCAACTGTTGGAAAATGCCTGAGAAACTCAAGTCCATTCCTCCACTAGCCTTTGGCCGGACGAAGCCTGAGAAACCCAAGCCCTCTCCTCAGCTTCCAACAGACTTTGGCCGGGCGACGCTTAAGAAATCAAAGCCCCCTCCTCAGCTTCCAACAGACTTTGGCCTTCAATTCAGCCAGTATACGTCAAAATAATCAAGGCTAATCATTCATGAATAAGCAATAAGCTCGATACGAGCTGGAAAGTTTGAGGTCAAGAATATGTCTAAGCCAGTCGGCCTATGATCAAGGACATCCGATCTTTCTTAAAGAACCACTTGCGTTGATTTCTCGGCACTAGCACTAGGGGTATAGATGTCATTGAGATTTTTCTGATGTTTTTTCTAGTATATTATATATAGCAAGCTACTGTAATATACAGTTATTTGCAGAACCAGTGCCTGTGTCACGGACCTGGATCCACCTTAATTAAACAGAGGTGTGTCGAGATACGTAAGGCTTTGGTTTGAACCACACAGGTTCCGTTGCTTATGGCGATGGCTGACTTGAGTAAACAAAGTAATGATGTTATGAACTGATGCTTGGAGGTTCTTAGACGTAACTAAGGTAGAAGAGATCCTCCATACAGTCTGGTGCCTATACGAGTATGAATTTCTTGCTGACTCTCACTGTTACAGCGCCTTGCAAGTACGGCTTTCCATTATTTGCAACTCTTCGACTCTTTCTCAGGCGCCACTGCCGCAATCTAATCCATATAAGGTTTAGCCTGTAAGTTTGGTATTTTATGAGCAGTATTGAATCTATACATACAAAACAGGGTAATGCCGCTCATATTTCGAGAATTGCATGCAGAACTTAAGCATTTTCAACGCAAACGAGGCAAATCGAATGGATATTTGAAGTTAGATGCATGTTACATATTGTGGTGTACTTTGGCTACGCATTTCTGCTGTTTTCAGCTAGTTAATCATGCAGATGCCCAATGCTATGCGACCGTGTAGACGTAAGTCAGCCTTGCAGTAGGTAGCCGATGCTGTTACCCCTCCTTCTCAGCCTCATGAACAATGTTTTGCATTCTCCCCTCATTATTTAAAAAGCTCTACAGTTCATTCTGCCCTTGTCCAGACATCTATATTCGGCCCGTTTGATCCTCCTCTATGACCCACAATGACAACTGTGACGCACAACGACTACACAGTCGCATGGATTTGCGCCTTGCCGCTGGAAACAGCAGCGGCCCGCAGTATGCTGGACAGAACCCACAGTCCGCTGCCTATGCCCTCCACGGATTCGAATGCTTACCAACTTGGTGAACTAAACGGCCACTATATTGTGATCGTCAGCCTGCCAAACGGGATATACGGCAAAGTGTCTGCTGCAGCTGTAGGGACTCGCATGCGCTTGACCTTTCCTCAGCTTCAATATGGATTGATGGTGGGGATCGGAGGCGGAGTCCCGGGCAAAAGTCATGACATTCGATTAGGCGATGTAGTGGTAAGCAAACCATCTGGAAAGCACAGTGGAGTAATCCAGTATGATTATGGCAAGGCGATTCAAGACGGCCAATTTGAGGTAACAGGGGCCCTGAACAAACCACCACAGGTGCTTTTGACTCATATGGGTCAACTGGAGGCAAAACAAATGACTGAAGGCCAGGACGCTCTTTCTCATATAGTGAATGGAATCTTGATAAAAAATCCTAATATGCAAGTACGATTTTCACCTCCTGACCGGTACACTGACTTTCTATTTCATTCCTCTTATCATCATATCGCCGGGGAAGGTACTTGTGAACATTGCGACAAAGAAAAATTATATAAACGGCAACCACGAAAGACAAGAACACCTCAGATTCACTATGGGTTGATTGCATCAGGGGATCAGGTAATAAAGGACTCCGAAACACGAGATCGCCTAGCACAGCAGTATGGAATCCTCTGCTTTGAAATGGAGGCGGCCGGGCTGATGGATGAGCTTCCAACGCTTGTGATCCGAGGGATATGCGATTATTGCGACTCTCATAAACAGAAACAGTGGCAAGGATATGCAGCGTTGACAGCGGCTGCTTACGCAAAATTGCTGTTATTGGCGATTCCTGTTAGACGTCCAGATGCCAACTTACTGAACAACAAGATGATAAGGCACTGGATAGTACCGCTCGCAAGGAATCCCAAGTTTGTCGGGCGTCAAGATGAGATCACAAAACTGGAAGAATTAATAACAATGCAAGACGGTCCTAGAAAAATCGCTATCACCGGGCTAGGCGGGGTCGGGAAGACCCAAGTGGCTTTGGAGCTCGCACACCGCATCCGGGACCGAGATAAGGAGTGCTCAGTCTTCTGGATCCCCTGTACTAGCCATGCCATAATTGAGCAGATGTTTATGCAAATTGCACAGACACTCGGACTTCGTGATGGGAATCTGGCAGAGGTCAAAGAACAGGTCAAGAGATACCTCAGCTCTAAGCGCGCAGGAAAGTGGCTTCTTGTTTTTGATAATGCAGACGATGCAGAGATGTCGTTCGCCGCCAATCATACAGCTCCACCTCTTGAAGATTTTATCCCTGAGAGTAAGGACGGCAGTATTCTGTTCACCACTCGAAACCGAAAACTCGCTATGAAGCTGGCACCATTCAATATTGTTTCCATTCCAGATGTGGATAAAGAAACGGCAGTCAGAATCCTGGATAAGACATTAGCACACGAGGGCTTGCTAAGAGATACTACCACAACTGCTACTCTCCTGGAACAATTGGCTTTTCTTCCTTTAGCAATAACGCAGGCATCGGCATATATCATTGAAAACGGTACCGATTTGGCAACCTACCTGACCCTTCTCCAAGAGCAGGAACAATATGCTGTCGAACTCCTGAGCGAAGACTTCAGGGATCTAGGACGCTATAAGGATATTCAGAATTCTGTGATGACCACCTGGTTAATATCATTCAAAGACATCCAGCAGCAAGATCAATTAGCTGCTGATTATTTATCTTTCATGGCCTGTATCGAACCGCGAAACATTACCCAGTCCCTGCTTCCTCAACCCGCATCGAAAAAGCAGAAAGTCGATGCCTTGGGGCTCTTAAATGCATACTCGTTTACGAACAAACAAGGCATGGATATCAATATGCACCGACTGGTCCATATTGCGACCCGAAACTGGCTCAGGAAGAATGCGTTATTCAGCCACTGGATCAAAAGGGTGGCTGATCATATGCAGAATGTATTTCCAGATAATCACCACACCAAACGAGAACTTTGGCGGCAATACCTTCCTCACGCTTTAGCCGTTTTGCGTGATAATGAAATTGTGGTACAGGAGAACGATTACTTGAGTTTGACTAGAAAGGTTGCAGATTGCCTTTTCAGTGACGGAAGATATCAGGAAGCAGAAATATTTTATGAGAAGATAATGACGATCACCCAGGAAAAATCCGGGGCAAAGCATCCCGACACTCTGACCAGCATGGCAGACCTGGCATCAACCTACCGTAATCAGGGTCGATGGAATGAAGCCGAAAAGCTGTTTATGCAAATTTTAGAGATAAGTCAAATCGTGCTAGGAGCAGAGCATCCCGTCACCTTAAATAGCATAGCAAACCTAGCATCAACCTACCGGAATCAGAGTCGGTGGAATGAAGCTGAGAAACTAGAGGTGCAAGTTATAGAAATAAGGAAGACTGTGCTAGGAGCAGAGCATCCTAACACTCTAACCAGCATAGCAAACCTCGCATCAACCTATGAAAATCAGGGTCGGTGGATTGAAGCTGAGAAACTAGAGGTGCAAGTTATGGAGATATCTAAGGCTGAGCTGGGAGCGGAGCATCCTAACACTCTAAATAGCATGGGAAATCTGGCATCAACCTACCAGAATCAGGGCCGGTGGAATGAAGCTGAGAAACTGGAGGTGCAAGTTATGGAGATATTCAAGACTGTGCTGGGAATAGAGCATCCCGACACTCTGACCAGCATGGGAAACCTGGCATCAACCTACCGGAATCAGGGTCGATGGATTGAAGCTGAGAAACTAGAGGTGCAAGTCATGGAGACAAGTCGGACTGTGCTAGGAGCAATGCATCCYGACACTCTGATTAGTATGGGAAATCTGGCATTAAYCTACCAGAATCAGGGTCGGTGGAATGAAGCTGAGAAACTGGAGATCCAAGTCATGGAGACAAGTCGGACTGTGCTAGGAGTAGAGCATCCTAACACTYTAAYYAGCATGGGAAATCTGGCATYAAYCTAYCRGAATCAGGGTCGRTKGAATGAAGCTGAGAAACTGGAGATCCAAGTCATGGAGACAAGTCGGACTGTGCTAGGAGTAGAGCATCCCGACACTCTAATTAGCATGGTAAACCTGGCATCAACCTACCGGAATCAGGGTCGATTGAATGAAGCTGAAAAACTGGAGTTGCAAGTTATGGAGTGCAAGTTATGGAGTGCAGATGAATCGGCATTATGCTCTAGCTGTTAAACAAGATATTCAAGATGTGGATTAGTTTGGTGCTGGTGTATTTTGACCATACAGCTGGACAAAAGACAACTTGATGGAGCAGTGTAGTCTCAATTTACAACATACATATAGTATATACACATCATTATGTTCTAGCAATGTTCGATATTACGAAGGCACTTAAGAGTCGCCTAATTAATTGCGGCTCTTCTAGGTCAATATCGCACAAATATGCACCTGAACGACGGCTGCATCGATATAACCTGAGACAACTGGGCAAAACCTTGCCTAGCTTGCCACAGATCTTTGTAGTCGTATGTCCCGTACGCATCGTAAAATACCTGAATACCAGTCTAAGCCTAGTATAGACTAGGGTGCGGGAGTGGCGCTGAGAAAAAAGTCGAAGAGTTACAAATCATGTAAAGCCGCATTTGCAAGGCGCTGTATATTTGAGTGATTTACGTTAAGGAACTATAAAGAGCTCAGTATATGATGGTAAAAGAGTGTCTATATAGATTTAGTTCTTCTTGTTTCCGTATATCGTATATCGTATACGTTAAAAGTATTAAGTATAAAGCATATCATATTCCTCTAATAATTACTAGTCCATATACGGCTAGATCAGGAACAACTCGTACTGAGACCAATTGGTACTGACATCAACTCGTACTCACGATTGAAAAAAATGTACATGACACAATCCGCAGACCAATCGAGTGCGTTTCCAGATGCACAAAACATAACTGCGCAGGGTGGCCCTCCCCACCGATCGTCTGGGATCTAGATAGAAACAAAGAAGCAGATTTGAATCTGGTCCTTCAGCGGCAAGTAGAAATAGGGAGCGATGGTGGGTACAAGCATAGATTAGTCGATGCATGTATCATACCTAGATTGAGAAGCAATGCATGCAAGAGCCGCTATCTCAGCTCTGGAGTTATCTAGGCACCGATCCGGATTTGTCGGGATCGAAACAATTCGGACTGGATCCGTTTGAAAAAAGTAGTCACCTTCCTAATCATCTATCTTAAACTTGGCAGGTCAGTCGCGTTTAACCTAGTGCTGTTTACCGGCGACCCATTTTGCAACGACATACAAAAGGATCGATACCCTCTGAACTGGTCTACGAAGTCGCACATGGTAGCTGCAATCTTCAAAGAGAATACATAATGTTTTTCTCGTGCGTCATAATCAGCATTTTGCATATTTCACTAGCATGTGCTGCTCACCACAAGCACCACCATAGAGCGCTTGTACAGCCGTCAGCTGTAACTTCAACTGTAACCCGTGGAGCCGCGGTTGCCGTTCCCACGACCCCCGGTTCCAGTGTTCCCATTGATATCGGGATCGACGGGTATGCTACTCCACAACCTCATTTGAGCAAATTACTGATGTGAGTAGCCCCATGGGAATAATTGAGATAGGCTCACCTGGACAAACAATTGACGTCCAGTTTGATACCACCTTCGATGGGGTGCTGGTTCGATCGACCCGCGCGGATATCTCTGACACATATAACGGCCCTGTATACAATAGTAGCGACTCTAAGTCATTCAGTTATATTTTTGGTTCCATCCCCGAGAATACATACACGCAAACGTTTGAGGATGATGCCTATGCTATAGCGCTCGCTGGCATAGAAACATTCAATATTGGCGGCAACCTCTATTCGAATATCGCGTTTGGTCAGCTTGAACAATACTATCAGAATAGGAGTGGACAGGCTATTCCCTTTAGCGGGGCTGGCAGGATTATTGGCCTCAACTACAACTCGATGCAGCAGCCTGGGTTCTCAAGTTTCATGTACGCGATGAAATATCAGTTGACAGGTGCGTCTCAATTCAAAGCTTGACGTGAGTATTCGTTGACGTTAGGCCTAGAATGGAAATGTACTCTTGACTCATCTCGCGAATGGCAAAATGGTACCTGGATCTTTGGAAGTCTGGAAAGCATGGATGCGCGTGCTGATATCGCGTGGGCGGATCGGAATGTTGGCCAGCCTACTTGGAGTGTCAATATTACAGCGATATCAGCTGGCAGTAGAAAGAATCCTCCAATCAACACCTGGTCCGCGACAGTTTCGACGGCAGAGCCGTCCCTCGTCTGGCCGCAAAAGCTCCTAGACTGGTATTTTACTGGCGTTGACTCTACATGGTCCGCTTTTGATAATACATATCGCTATCCATGCAATGTTGCCCTGCCTGATTTCACGTTTGGCATCGGAAATGGGACCTTCACCATCCCTGGTACCTATATGCCCTACCAGCGTGACCAAGCCGGTACTACTTGCATTTCTATCATCACGGGGGACAATTCTACAGACCCGAGTCATGAGTACATCTTTGGTTCCTGGTGGGCCCAGCTAGGTGTGCTGATTCTTGACTACGAACATAGCCAGGTGGGATTCATGAATAAGTCGGCACCATTGCCCGAGTTTACTACAGCTACCCTTGACGTCATTGCAATGAATTGACTGGTTGCCGTAGATCAGTAGGTAGGATGACGGATGGTTAATATACATAAAGTTTGTCCCATTCGACTTTTACTAGCTAAGCAACCTTCAGACCAGTAAGAAATTCAAATCTCCATTGAAGGCCGATTATGACAACTTTCCTGCAGACTACACTTCTGAATAGCGTGCTCACAACTTCGCAACCATGGTATGGTCAATCTCTCTTGAGTCCACGGAGGACAAGGCATCGTCTGAACAGGCCAAGTCAAGGGTGCATTGAGGGGACAGTACGGATCATTGGCTTACGGATGGGTCAGGAGAGAAGACTTCTGGTGCCCTTAAGTTACATCCTGTCCTTGTGCTCCCACCGGGTAACGCGGCTTTGTTCAATATCGAAGCCAGCTTCTGGAATGCACCTGAGCGCTCAATTAGGATCGCGTCTGAGTCAATTTCTTCATCTTTCTATATTTGGCTGGCCAAACCACAGTGACAAATAGCCTCTCGGTTAATTAGGGCTAAAGTGAAGACGACTGATTGTGGCCATGCATGATAGTGTCGAAGTTTCGGTCATAAAATTTTCCGATGATCGGTGGTTTTCAGTATATAAAGCTTCCCAATGCCCACCTCTGTGCTTAACTCTTTCCCATCTGATTTATCTTTACATTCGGAATACTGCTATTGATATAGACAACGTACAGCCTTCTTTCACCATGGTGAGGAACGAACAAATCCCAGTGGATCAGGCCTTTTATTATGAACGGTTTTCGCAGAGTGATACGGAATCTCGTGCATCGACTGTTCCCCTAGAGGAAACTTCGTCCTGCGTGAACGGGAACACCATCGTTCAGCCAGATTTCCGTGAGAACAATCCAGGGATGCGCGTATCTTCGTGTTCACTCCGTGAAGTTACCAAGCATGACTATGCTGACCAAGCTTACAAAGAAGTGATGGATGCTGCTGCTGCCACTGTCAGTCCAAGCGAGTCGAGGAGAAGAAAGACTGGAATAGGCAAAAGGACAAGAGAACTCACAGATTTGGACTTTATGCTCGTATGTATTCAGATCTCTCTTCACCTGATAAGAAATATTATCTAATGACAGTGCAAGGATGAATTCTCCCAAGAGGTTCGACGTCATGGTCAAGCATGGACAGATGAAATCCGAAAACTTCGAGAAGAGCTCGAGATTTTACAGGACCGGAACCACCGTCTCCAAGAGGAGATCACAATCGCAAACGCCGAGAAAGACCGTCTCCGAGCGGAGCTCATCTTGTCAAATCGTGAGAGGGATTGTCTCCGAGAGGAGTCCGCAATGTAGAGTCAACAGAACGACGAGAAAATTCGTGAGTTACAGCGAGTTGTCGATGAATGAACTGATCACACCTACATTGTCTGTCAAGGCTGCAGTGAAGCAAAAAGAAACGGCGTATATTTGGATGTGGTCATGCGTTCTGTACTGGATATATAAGCGAACTCAATCCTCTCATATCATTTTCCTTTTGTTACTTTGAATAAATATATTCTTCGATTGTGCGCTGCTATATAAAATAAAAATCACAAGAAAGTGTGAAAACAACATTTTTAAATCCGTACATCGACAACGGTAAGCTAGCATATAACGGGTAGTTAGTTAGTTGGTTTCGATATACATCGGGAATATAAATACTCACAAAATAAAGTTGTCAGACACCCAATTAGAACCGTGGACTCCCGGAGTAGTGGAGTCAAAAGTGGGGTCTTAGGAGGAACACCCCCCAGCGATTGGTCAATGGCAGCAGCTAGCCCTAAGACTTGTATATAACTTCAACATAGGCATGATGTCGATGTCAACAAACTGCAATAACTCCCATGATAGGATCCGCCATTCATTATTTTCGACTCAAAGTATAGCAAGTTACGCCGCACTAGGATGTCAAGATGGTCCGACAACCACATCTACAATTTTCATCAACAAGAGCGGATAATCGCATTGTGTGCTGCTACTTCATATAGGTTGGTCGTTCGTACAGAACTGAGTACATTTGCTTCAGGAAACCATTAGGGCTCGTGAACCCAAGCTTCACACAACGAGATGTAGGCAACAAACGAGAATCCCTATCTCTTTCCTCCCCCCATGTCATCGCTATTCTCAAGAACAGAACAGCAGCAGCAGCAATAACAATCATGTACGTCAGCTCTAGCGAATAATCGCGAGCTTTGGTTATTGAACTATAATGAAGCAATCACTAACGAGAACCCTGCAATAGCTACATCAAAATGTCCAGCGCTCCTGCTCCGATCGTCGTCCCTGGGCCCGTTGGATTTGTCCTCCCTGGTGGGTTCGATCTGTCGATCGACCTGGATTTTCTTACTGGATGGGTATGTGATAAGCACCAAGCAAGCAAATTGAGTATATCGAATCAGAGCATAGAACTAACATTGGTGGTCTAGTGCGACTGCCTTAAACCCCTTAGCCAAGAAATCCAAAGAGTGATACAAGAGTACAGAGCTATGGGTCAAGGTACTGAAGGACCAGCTCTCTGGCTGGTAGACTATCGAGAGGATCTTCGGATCCTATTCTTTACGGCGCTTGATGGAGTCCCTGAGCTCCAAACCGATCTGGCGGCTCGCGTGAGAGCCAAATTCCGTGATTACGATGCGTGGCGGCGTGGGTTGGCCCCCGCGCCGGAATAAAAATTGGTCCTTTTTCATTGCCAATGAATTGTTGCATTTTTTTTTTTATAAAATCTTACTAGTAGATAGCCCGTTTGCTTCGTCCCAATACCTTCATTGCAATCACCTTGAATCGTTCAAATATCTCAGTAAACTGTGATTCGCCTCGATTGTGACTAGGGTGCAAAAGCATAATCATCCCCAATAACCACTAGATATGGGATGGTCTGAGACCCATCAACCATGCTTCTGGCAACGTAACCGTAGTCGTAGCTGTTGCTTATCGTACATGCGTCGGAGACCTGCTTGGCGGGTTGAATCAGATTTCCACATCTTGTGTTAATGTCGTGGCTTTCCTATATACTTTTATCAATAATATAGATATGAGCGTTCACCGTTGAACACATACGAAGTTGCAGAAGAAAATCGAGGATCTTCCTTCATGCGATACACGCGCACAAGTAGCTGCCGGCACACTGCACGTGACATTCGCGACATCGGAGAGATGGCCGATGTTGGCGATGGTCTCATTAACGCGCGCCAGTCCATATCGGAGGGAGCAAGTTGGCTCAGGATCCTCAAGAAGTGTGCTCATTAGCCTCGTACTTACCAAGGTCAGTGGTACTTACCGATGCTCTCGAGCGAAAACTTCGACCATCACGGCGGTGTGGCGCTGGGAAGGTAGTCGTATTCAACACCTGTGCTGTCAGATATTGCCTTAAATATACAACTGAGGACATATGGACTTACCATCTTATCAAGAGTAGTATCGTATATAAGAGACGCGCCTTGGATAACGCCCGTCTAGAGAAATGGTCAGCGAAAGAAGAAAGAGAGAATCACAGCCCACTGACTGCTGTAGAGATCATGCCAAAGATCATTAAGTCTAGCTTCATTGTGTCCTGCTGTATTAAACTTTTGTTGAGACTGGCGTATCTCCGTATGGGATACATATATAGGCAACCATCGAAAACAGAGTTTAAAAAGGACAGGTTTGATTAGTGTTCAGGTCATGCTTCTCAGCGAACTACGACTAACTCCAAAAGTGATTTGATGATCACCAGCGACAAATGACACCGACCAATAACGTACTAAATCCAAATGAAATCACTCACTGGCACCAAATGGAGGGGGCGGACACTAGAACGAAACCAATCATTTCCATGATATACGTATCGAATCCAAATCCGGGATACGCATTGATACCACACGGGACAGCCATACTGGCATCAAGTTGTGCTAGCACCAATTCATACCAATGGTGTTGGTTTCCATCTGAAATCTGTGTGCGCAATGTTAGACTCGCTAACGATTAGTAGCATTTGGGGATTTGCGAGAATGTCTCATGCAGGTCCTCCGGGGCAGCACAAGCACCTTAGCTTTTAAAAATCAAATTTATAAGATGGTATGGTTCATTTTGTAATGATCAGTTTCTCGGGTTTCATTTTTCATGAAAGCAATAAGGACTAGGCAATATGCGAAGTCGTCATGGAAACATTATTATGATTATCAACAATAGGGCTTTGTCTTGAGAGGGATTGTCATTTAATTGATTACGGGAGGCGTTCTCGCTCTTTGGTATCATCCGGCACAGATGGTAGCCCTCTCATATTGTAGATCACACCTACCGAACAGGACAAGGACCTTATGGTACATGCGGCTATGCAAGGCTCACCTTGCGGCCAAGAATATAAATAAAGCCTCTGCGTTCACAGCAACCACTTCTCCTAACTTTTGATCGACAAAACTGACAATTCCAGACATTCGAACTTTCCTGCCTTCTACCTTCACTACCCGTACATGGAAGGATGTCGGTATGTTCGGTGACACAGGCCGTACATATGATAAATACAGATCAGCTGTAACGGCACGGCGACTTGTGTCCATAGAAGCACAGCAGTCCGCAAACATATGATCAAGGAAAAGCGCTAGGATCCCGCCATGTACCTTCCCTTCGTGATAGCATAGGTGTTGGTGAAATATCATTTCTGCTTTGAGTGCCCAATCCTCGCCACTTATTTGAAAGACTGGCTTATATTCACTTAAAAGAGACATATTTGTTCCATCTCTGGAATGAGTTTGCTCCTTTCGAACCTGGGCGAGAGTATGCACTGAAATTATGATGTACTGTTAACATAGATCTAGACCATATACATTCCTCACCACTCACATGGTTCAACTGGAGTTGTAGCCATCAGGACAGATGTCGTTTCCACCGGAGTCAAGTAGAATTCAGGGATCTAGTTACCCTCGGATGTAGGGCCACCTTTCTGGTACAGCCATTGCACAGGTCATAGCTGGCAATTTAGGATCACTATATATCCTCATATGGTATCTTGATGTTACCACGGTTCCTGTTTGCGATCGTGTCTCATTCGTTTGGAATCTGCACTGTTCCAGATGAGGTTTTACACAAAGCCGTCGAACCTGTGTAAGCTAGACTGCAAAAACAAGATTTCGAATCATTTCCATGATTTGCTCCTTTCATGCTGGATCACGTATCAATTCCGAAACCTGACCAGGATCATGTAGTGAAACTTTATAAAAACACCTGATAACCTCAAAACAGGACATTCACCCCAAATTGGAGCGCGTTGCTGCCAAACGGGACAGCCGTACTGACACCAAGTCGTGCTGGCACCAACCCGACCGACAACGACTCCACTAGCACCAACTTAGACTGAGATCGAATTAACACCATCTCGGAATGACACCAACTCGAACTGACACCAATTTAGAATGAGATCAACTTGAACTGATACCGACTCGAACTAACACTAACTCAGAACAAAATTGAATTAACAGACACCAACTCGAACCGATACCAACTCGCGCTGGCCAAGGTTCCCGTATGGTGTCAGTCTGCCTTATAGAATCCCGTCTTGTATCGTATGCACCGTCTTGTGCAATAAGAAATCCCGTCTGGTGCGGTATTCACCGTCTTGTGCGGTAAGAAATCCCGTTTGGAACATGTTTTGAGCACTATGATGGAGAACGGCCCTCATGACGTGAAAGTGAATATTCTACAATCTTTGCAGTATCTGCCACAGCTATCTCCCCAACTCCTAAATTCGATAGCATATTTTCCTGGAAGTGATATTATTGTAAATGAAATCTTCCGCAAGCAATCCATTTTATCAGAGAATATTCTCCAAGCTATTGTGACTCGACTGGAGCATCCTGATTCAGATGTAAGATGGTCTACCATTGATGTCTTAGGCGAACAATCGCATTTGTCAGAGGATATTCCCCAAGTCATTGTGACTCGACTAGAGGAGTATGATTCATTTGAACGAGCGACCGTCATTGAGATCTTACGCAAACAATCGCCTTTATCAGTGAATACTATCCAATCTCTTGCAGTCGTACTTTCCAAAAAGTCCTTGCTTAAGGACTACGAGTTGGTAGACGTGCTACTTAAACAGGATAGTCTCTACAGTGGTTTCTTAACCTTTGATACAAGAAGTTTGCGGTCAATATATCAAATTTTAGTTCAGCGAAGCTTCAGTGAGCAATTGAGTTGCTATAGGCAGGATAAGATCCTCTATATTGATCTACCAGATCGGCGAAGGGAGATTCCTCTGGCTTTGAAGACTGATGATTTTATCAGTACCTTTGGGCAGAGAAAGATTTCGCTGGTGCTGAATAAGATTACTTTCCCGCGTGCATTCCAGGACGAGGCGTCAGCCCTTGGAAGGCCTACATCATTAGCAGAAGATTTGAAAACCGCGCCAACTTCTCGTCGCCAGATTATCTATTCATCTCTCATCATCTGCATCATTATTTTCCTGCTCTCCAAGTAGGATAACCTCGGCTGGGTGGATCCAGATTTGTAAACATCCCCACTTGATGTGACCTTTCCAATCTCTTGCATTCAACTCTGACTATTCCTGATGTACGAAAGCTGCATGTCAACGACGACTTTTATTGATATTCTCGAACTGGCCGTGGGCGTCTTGGAGGAGCAGAACGTCAACGAAAATAATAATCTCTCACAAGCAGGGAAGAGACCTTGCTGTCAGGGAACCTAACATAGTTGAAGAGGTCTCCTTTTTAAGTGCTGTATAGGCATGCGCCAGGTTGCTTGAACCTAAGAATTGCTGCTCTCCAACATAGAGGGTTGGAGTAAGCGGTGAACTTAGGTCACTTATCAGGCATAGGATTTTGGAATTGGAAAGGAAGTCTGAGGATATTTGTTCTTAAGAGTCCGCAGCTGGAAGTGCAATGATCTTTGGTCAGGAATATGCCATGCATATCTATAATATTCTTGTAACATACTGATACCAACTCGTGCTAGCACCAAGGTTCTCGTTTAGTGTGGTTCTGCGCTCTTATTTAGTGTCGTAGTTGGTATTGGTACGTTTGGTTCTGTAAAGAATCCCATTACGTACCGTACGAACCGTTTTGGAGCTGTAAAAAAGTCCCGCTGGCGATGTTCGTCGCCATTTGTCCTTGGCATTGATGTCTGCACCTTTTCTAGAAGCTTTTGAACAGCGTCACATGATTCAGACAGTGTTGCTAGATGAAGGGCGGTTCGTCCGTCTCTATCGTCTAGTATAGCTCTCTTTTACATGGCGGAAGCTCTAAATGGCGTTTGCTAACTTAAGGGCCAAGGCCTAGGTGCCGTCCTTCACTGCCTGAACCACAATTTTGACGAATTACTCTATAAGGAATCTTGAAGCTTTACAACACCACGTAATAATGAAATTGTTGGTTTAGCTATAATCCGTATCACGAAGCATAGATTGGGGAGCAAGGGTAGTCCAACAACCCTACGGGGTGAGCCTGCTTATAAGCACAAATATTCGATTATAAAAGACTGATACCCAGAACCGTAGGGGTTCGGGGTAAATACGAAGCTATATACGGGTTTGCGCAGTAGGCGCTAAAAATCCTGTGCCGGTGCGCTCCTGCGTATCGTATGCAGAAGCGCCGGATCGTGAGGTTGATATTCCGACAGTTCTGTTTCGTGCTCTCTTGCTCCCTAGTCTCACTGATACAATTTAAGGATATGGGATCATTTCATCTCGTGTCACATATATAAATATAGGATATCCCCGCAACAATCACCCATAAAACGAAAGTCGACTAACAAGTATACCAGCACTCAGAGTGCTCCGAATCTCAACTAGTGGCTCTCGTCTCAGTCTAGCTCAGCCAGACCTCTCAAAAGGCCAAATTTAGCTAGACTAGAAATTTTGACTAGCAGTTCATCACCTCTTATTCTGCTTTTGGTCATCCAGAATTGATATGACCATGCCTTATTGAGAGCCGAGCAAAAAATCGCTAAAGAAGCAGATTTCCTTCAAAAAGATATCCTGGCCACTCCTAAGCCTCGTATGAAGCGATTGAACCAAAAATCACAGAAATCGCCCACCAAGAAAACTTCTGTATCTCATGAAGAAGTTATCCATGAAGTTATTCCCACAAATTGCCTCGGCCGCGCGATCCGGCTCCCTGAACGTTTTCGCTAAAAATTCGCTTACTAAATTTCTTATGTTTGATTTATTACTACGCCATAAAATCTAATTTATTTGCCTGTTATATGTGGTTGTAGAGCTTCAATTCGTGTATATTGTAAAGCTCAATATTGTGCACGGAGTGGGACCGTGCACGGAGCGGTCAGAGACGGTAAAGTAATCCTGTCAAAACTTTTGGTGCCCCTCCATGCAGAGCCTCCCACTCAATTTTCTAACTTGAGGTACAGACTTGAACAACCTAAAGCTTGGAAATACAATGAACCCCCTTGTCTCTCATGATACCCAATTACCAATATAGTTCACTCCTTCACGTCGGATGTTGCTGGTCATGATGCGTGGAACCTCCACATCAGAAAGAAACTCCACTGGTATTAATAGTTGGCCCTCTAAGAAGACTTCGGTCAATTCCACAAGATGTTAACATAGTTAGGTATAGGACTCTCAAAAAAGCAGCGCCCAGAAAACGAGAGCAGTGCTCCGCCTAAGAAAAAGCGACGCAAGTATAGCAAGACCCAACAAGATCACAACAAATTAGCTGCTGCCCCTGTGCAAGCATCTAAAATCTCCCTCATCGATGATTTTATAAAACTTTACGAGAATGAAGGATATATGGCCTATGCAGAACTGAGTACTAGATCTAAAGGGGTCCTCTCGCGTGAATTGAGCAAATCTGGAATTAAATATGAAATTTTCGACCGTGGTGAAGAGGGTTTTGCGAATGGATTGACAAAGGCTCCAAGTTCAGTTAGAAGGTCACTGAGCAGACGTCAGAATAGTCATGGGCAATACGAGTCGATGAACGAAATTATTAGCGATATGCATGACCTAGCCGCGATTCGGGTTGCCGTGTATTATCCCAATGATTTTAATAAAGTCGAAAACATCATCAACCGTTGCTTTGAGGAAGCTAAACCCCCGCAGGATTGGCCTGATCTGACGTTAGGCCCATTTCCCTATCCGAAGCTTGACAATGATATTTCCGCTCAAAACGATATCTTAGGACGAAACAGCCGGTTTCCAGGATACTTCGCTCGTCATTTCCGGGTCAGATTAAAGGAGAACAGTCTCACAGACAAAGTCCTGGAGATACAGGTCATGTCACTCCTGATGCACGCGTGGTCAAAAATACACCACGAGCTTATTTACAAGCCACGGCTGGGGGTTCCACAGGCCGACGAAGACGACGAGCGCTTAATAGACACCTTGAACGGCAATATCATCGCATGTGAACAGATACTGCGGCAGATTCAGATCAACCACAATAGGAAGAAAGAGCAGGCCGGAAGTCCATTCGGCAACGAACACAAAGCCTGGGATTATCTTGAAAGCAAGTGGCTCAAAAGAGGAAAGAGCGAGCGAATTCCTGTTCTCTCCAAAGTTAGCCTTTTAGAAGGACACCGTCTCCAGCGCATTTTTTATCAGTCACTAAAGACACACGGTTTTAATACCCCCGAAATGGTCGATAAGCTAGTTAAACTTTTCATCGACTACTATGGGGAGAAGAATGAGACCGGCCGGAGTCATTCCACTTTTCCAAAAACGCGGCATTTCTTCTCCTATCTTATTCGATCGCTCGCCAACCTGGATCATTTCAAGAAGGAGGAATATGATCAGTTAAAATTGCCAGAAACTGAGGCCAACAACCTGAAACTATCAGAAACCGCGAAGTTGGTTCGATACAGGGCGTTAATTATATGCAACGCTTTCAAGTATGATGATTTGAACTATTCTCGGATCAACCTTGACAAGTTCTCTGGAAAACGCCCGTCGCGAGACGAATTTTTGATGATACTCCATCCACAGAGTACACTACAGTTCAATCCACAATGCCTTACCGCCTTGAACGACTTCTGCCAGTATCTACTCAATTGGGACGATAAAAACTGGCAATTAGGTTGCGCAATATCCCGGCTAACCAATTTTCGAGTTAAACCAGACCAAAACTCCAAACACACAATCCCTGCTCGTGAATTCTCCTTTACGGAATGCCCTTGGAGTCTCATTAACCTCCTCGATGGTCCTGCCGAATACCGGAACCAGCCGCAACAGGATCTTGTGCCACAATCCGTCAAATATGGTCGCAAGGGCACGTGGGGGACACGTGCACCAATCAAACCTCAAAATGATTTCATAACTTTAGGCTTCCCTGCAGTACGCCTTTTCTTGGATCGTCTTGACTCTATGTAAAAATGAGTAGCGCTTGATCGTGAGATCAGAGCCCAAGCTATATACGTCGATCCAATACATTCTATGTGGAGACTAAACTTAGTTACCGGTAGATCTAGACTACCGGTATGAGTCAATGTGGTTAGTATGAGAGAACTGACTTCAAAAGGACACCAAAATACTTACCTGTGGGGTGAACTAGAGAGTGCTGGGCCAGTGTCATCAGATATCAATTATTCCCACAATTGAAAGAAGAGTAACCGTACTTAGCGATTCAGATATTCATAATATAAAACGTAGTTTCAGATTCTGGGGTTATCAGCCGTCGATATACTAACGAGATAAATGAAACCGGAGTACCGACACAGCTGCGCTTGACTGCCAAGCGTATTATTAGATAGATACCCAAATTGTTTTTCATGGTGTTAACTCAGTAAGTTGCATTGGGCTGTAGTGGTCTGATCGGGCATCATCACGTGGGTACTCGCAAAGATGACCTATATATTCGCAAAAGCCTCCTATATCCAGCAAATCCAGGAATATATTTCTCATCCAAAATCGTGCATCGATATAATAGAAATCTATAGTTGTCGAGATAAATCGATATGAGGTCGTACGCAGATTTCGTCAATTTCCGTCAGCAGGCGAACCCATGCATCCGCGCACTCTCAAAATTTCTGGCGTTGAGACGACTGCCACCAGAAACTTGCCACGTTCATATTGTGGACTACAAATATGACAGCGCCGGAATTTATTCTTCTGATTGCATGAGAGTAAATCATGCCAGCTTCGCTTCCACTCTTCTGTCTCTGGCACCGGGCTCCAAACGACTCATCATAATCGAAGACCTTCATCCTTCTATCCTTGAAATTCTAGGAGAAATCTTGGACGTTGACCCAATTTTCTTTGCTGACTATGTCCTGACGGACATCAAAGATATAGAGAATAATCCCCCTCCTCCCTCTGTGGCTCTGACTCCGTCTCAGATCGTCTCCCAAGCAGATTCGTTTCATATCCACTTTCAGCAGATCGTCGACCTTGGAAAATCAGGTCCACTTCGAGACTCACCATGGGTCTTAAAAACGTCGGGTAACATTCAGAGATCTGTGCGGCGCTTACCACCGCTCTCAGGGATACAGCTAGGCATTGCTCGAGGTTGTTGCTCCATTTTGACAAAAATTTTCAATAACTCGTGGATCGGTTGTTATTGCGAAGCTTTCCAAGAGAATGAACATATCTAACAGATAACAGGTGTTATCCTTGTTGACCCGACAGCTTCCGAGATCGCTCAAAGTCCTATGTCGACCTATGATTATCCATTGCGTCTTCGCCGAGCTCCACTTCTTACTAGCTTTGAAGACTTCCAAACGCCGCTTTCATATTCGGCTTTCCAATCTTCTGAATTTCAACTAGAGCCCTTTGAAGACAGCCTTCTTAAAACTCTCCTGGATCGCTTTTCTAGGAGTCCACCGACTTCTCGAAAAGATACGCTTACACCTTTGAGCCTGGCGTACTTCCCCCTGAGAATAATCATAGGTGAATGGATGTTGTACAGTAATGTACTCGCTCGATATCTAAAACACTATGAATACTCACTCAGGGACATTGAATTGCGAGTCCACGAATATGACATGATGGATCTCCAAAAATGGCGACACCGAGCTATACAGTCACAATTCAAGCTCAACAGTACAAAGGAGTATGTTTCTTATTGGTCTAAGACAGAATCTGAAAGTGGCCCTTGGAATCTGGTCTTGCAAGACTTAGGCCACCTGTCAAAAAACATTGAGCAGTATAGCTATTCCCTTGAGCGAATGATCCCAGTTGTAACTTCCATAGTTCAACTCCTCGATTCTCGCCGGTCAATTCTCGAATCGGTCAATGTGAGACGCCTCACATACATAGCCTTGGTTTTTATCCCTCTTTCTTGGGTTGCGTCCATCTTCAGCATGGCTAATGAATTTGCCCCTGGCAATTCAAAATTCTGGATTTATTTCGCTGTCTCTGTGCCGTTTTGCATTTTTGTTGTGGTTTGGTCTCTGATAATGTCGAACTCATGGAGATGGACAAGGTACGATTCCCTTCGGAACTTTTGTTATCTTGGTAGAGGACGTACGAGGGATTCTGTCACTTGATTAGCTTCCTAAAGCGCGGCAGGGAAATATAGAAGTGAGAGTCTTAATTTTTGGCGTTTAAACATTCCACCTATGGCTGTGGCAATCGTCCTATATGACCTTGTACTGGATCTTATTGTTCAGAACCAACTTAACCACTCTCCACTATCGAGATGTCCTTTTACAGTATATAAATGCTAAGCTTCTCCATTTAAAAGATCGATGTCGCGCACCTATGAATTATATAATCGATGTGAACATTCCAAAGCTCAAGTGCTTGGCTTTTATCCACTTATTAGTTTTCTTGGACCACCTCAGGCTCTAAGGCATTGTTGATAATTCAGGCCCATGCCCCACGCCTCCTAGTCACTGGTTGGGCAGTCAAGTCTAGGTTAAGAGGATAGGTTGAGATATTGCAAAACAGCAGAGCTAACTTAGTATCCCATCTACGAAAGAATGTTATGAAGCGAGATAGGAAATCCCTCTCCACAATCCTCATATTTTCTCTTTCTGGATGCTGACCCTTTCATGCTATTTTTCTGTAAGGGCTGGTCAGACTTTTTATAGCTCTCTGAGGAATCAGCTTGGAGGGTGTTGCCGTATTCACCACCTTGTGCATCCACATCTGCACCGTTCTGAAGTAGTATCTGAATAGTCTTGGTATGGCACCCCGAGGAAGCAGCTTGGAGGGCATTGCCGTATTCACCACCTTGCGCATTCGCGTCTGCACCTTCCAGAAGTAACATCTGAACAATCTTGTCATAGCCTCCAAATGAGGCTGCCTGGAGAGCATTGCCATAATATCCACCTTGAGCATTGACTTCAGCTCCTTTCTCAAGTAGCATCCGAACAATCTCATCATGGCCTTTGAAAGAAGCAGCTTGAAGGGCATTGCCATATTCACCACCTTGTGCATTCACATCTGCACCTTGCTTAAGTAGTATCTGAACAGTCTTGATATGGCCCTCTGAGGAAGCAGCTTGGAGGGCACTGCCGTATTCACCACCTTGCGCATTCACGTCTGCACCTCTCTCAAGTAGTATCTGAACAGTCTTGGTATGGCCCTCTGAGGAAGCAGCCTGGAGAGCATTTCCACATTCACCACCTTGTGCATCCACATGTGTACCTCTCTCAAGTAGCATCCGAACAATCTTGTCATGGCCCCCTAAAGAGGCAGCCTGAAGAGCATTACCATATTCACTATCTTGAGCATTCATATCTGCTCCTTTCTCAAGTAGTATATCAACAATCTTGTTATGCCCCCCTAAAGAAGCGGCTAAAAGAGCATTTCCATATTCACCGCCTTGAGCCTTCACATCTGCATCCTTCTCAAGTAGCATCCGAACAATCTTGTCATGGCTTCCAAATGAGGCAGCCTGGAGAGCAGTGCCATATTTACCACCTTGAGCATTCACATCTGCACCTCTTTCAAGTAGCATCTGAACAGCCTTGTCACGGCCTCCGAGTGAGGCAGCCTGGAGAGCATTTCCATATTTACCACCTTGTGCATTCACATCTCCGCCTTTCTCAAGTAGCATCCGAACAATCTCGTTATGGCCTTTGAAAGAAGCAGCTTGGAGAGCACTACTATATCTGCCATTCTTTGTATTGATATCTGCACCTTGCTCAAGTAGTATCTGAACAGTCTTGGTATGGCCCCCCGAGGAAGCAGCTTGGAGGGCATTGCCGTATTCACCACCTTGCGCATTCACGTCTGCACCTTTTTGAAGTAACATCTGAACAATCTTGTCATGGCCCCTCAAAGAGGCAGCTTGAAGAGCAGTGCCGTATTCACTTCCCTGTGCATCCACATCTGCGCCTTTCTCGAGTAGTATCTGAATAGTCTTGTCATGGCCTCCAAATGAGGCTGCCTGGAGAGCATTGCCATAATATTCACCTTGAGCATTGATTTCGGCTCCTTTGTCTAGCAATCTCTGCACGATCTCAACATGTCCTCCAAAAGAAGCAGCGTAGAGAGCATTGCCATATTCTCCACCTTGAGCATTGACTGCAGCTCCTTTCTCCAACTGTGCCTCTGTCGTAGCTTTCAGTTTTAACTGTTTGCCAAGTTTAGACACCTGGATCTTTACAACTAGATTGATTTCATTATAGATCTGATCATTTTCTTCCTCACCTCGCAGGTGAATTTGAGGGAACGATTCAATGATAGGCTGAAAATCTTCTTCGATCTCATCATATGGTCGACTAGTTACCAGGAATTTGAGCCAGTTTCTCGGTGGAGATAGTCGATGCTTAGTATAATACTGTTGAAGCTTTCCAATGAGCTGTTTCTGGTCTGACCTGCGACACTCATCTAGAGCGTCAAAGACACAGATCGTGTTCACTGATGCCGGATCAGACGTGGCGGCCATAAAAATGCGCCACAAATCTTCCACTTCCTGCCGGATTTTCTCCCGATTCTTTTCCCAGAATGGCAAGGCATATTGTAACAAATGTGGTTGCCATGTAAATAGCTGATGTAGAATAGCACACAATGCAGTGGCTAGGCTATTCTGTTCATCATTATCCTTGAAGAAGAAATAACAAAGCGACGCTGTCGGCGCAGAAGCCGGAATGACCTCGTCAATCAGTGACTTGGCAAGTACCGATTTACCACATCCCGGATCGGCTGAGATCCATAGGAGATCATTACTGCTGCTCTCCCACCAAAGCCGGTACTCTGAACTCTTCAGAACCCACTCACAAGTTCCTTCAACTCGATTGGGGTTGATGTCTTTGTATTGCTCATATGTTGACGTCTTGAATGCTCGATGACAGCTACGTTCATCTTCCGTTAATACTCTCTCCATTTTTTCATGGTGGTGTTTTTCTCGTTGATCAAAAGCCTTTTTCTGGTCCTCCTTAATGTCTTTAAGTAGAGCTAGTGATCATAGAGAAACTGTGTTAGACAGCGCAGACAAACTACTATACGATAATGGTAATTACTTACGACAGATATCCGCCACTAAGCTCTCCTGAGAAACACCCTTTGGGACATAACCCAGCAGCTCTTTCGTAAAAGCCGCTGCCGCTAGAGCAGCGTACCCTTGCCATTGTTTATTCTTATGCGAGTCGGCATAGTCGCAAATACCACGTATCACCAAGCAGGGAAAGTCCGCCATCAAGCCTGCTGCCTCCATTTCGAAACATAATACACCGGTACCCTTGCGGATCGCCTCCCTCGTCTTTCCGTCCTTGATTAGAGTATTCCCAGATGCAATTGTTCCATAGTGTGTTTGTGGATCGCCGTCTTCGCGGGTGATACGATCCTCCTCCCATTCCGCCGGACAATGATCACAGGACGCTGCACTTTCGGAATGCTCATGCTCTATTTTGAATAGCCGGTCCGACTTGAGGTCAGGACGACAGAAGGTTTTCCGTGTCCGTGCATTCTTACCAATGGCTTCTTGAAGGTAAATAGGATACTGAGGATCATCATATAGTTCGGCCGCCCTCATCTGGGCTAGCGCGTTTAGTAACGACTTGGGCGGACTATTCAAGGATCCAATACGTTGAAATTTGCCATTTTTGCCAATTTTACCCATGTCGTGTTGAATAACGCCGCCAGAAGAGCCTTCAGGACGACTGACCACAATATCACCCAGGCGAATGTCGTGCTTCACTGAAGGAGCTCCTCCGCCAATGCCCACCATCAAGCCGATGCGGAGCGAGTCACTAAATGTCCGTAGCATATTGTTGGCAACTGTGGTGGCAGAAGTACTTCCATATTGGCCATCGGGGAGACAGGCAATCACAACATGGTGGTGACCGATCCGACCCAAGGTGTATGTGTTGGTGTCAGTCTTTTCCTGCTCTTGGAGAATACCAAAATTCTCATCGAGCATTTGGATTGCGGCGGCGGCTTCGATGGGTAAGGCACATATCCAACCGATCTGGAACTCCTTTCGAGATGGGGGACTTTCCATGGTTCAGAGCAGTGACGTCACAACTATGTATCGGATTGAATGAAGAGCGAGAACAGAAATGGGAAGGAAGCATTCTTCCTTAATCGATGCGTTGTGGTCTGAGGTTCATGAAAACGATGATTGTTGACAAGGCTGAACGATGACAAGGCTGGCTTCAAGGTTGCGGGCGGTAAGGAGGAGTTTATGTTATTGGGGTCTTGGCAGCAGGTTACATATTAATAAAAACCCGGCTCATGGTATTGACAAGATTACTTTACCGCTATCCCTAATATGGTGAGCGCAGCGCATATATCCACTCATATGCCCTCATTGGATAGCCGGCTTTCCTCGATATAAGGATTTGCCAAGAGGACCCTTTACTAAATTAGCGCGCACAGGTGCTGTTACGCACTAGAAAACCTGCATACGCTACGCGATATAAGGAACAGTCAAGAAGGGGTGATTGGAGGACAATCACCGAGTTCGGTACACGCTGAAGGAACGCTAAAAGAATCACGTGACCAAAGATATACTACAAGATATAGGACTACGATAAGATAATGAGTATATCTTACCGAATGTGTTAAAGTGAATAGTTATTCATTTTTTTCTAATCTTGAGGGGCTGATGGACTGGTTATATACACCATGTATGCACAGAACTACTTCCTTATCGGAACAACACAGCCGTCGAGATATTCTATATTCAACAGAATGATATGATTGGAGGACATATCGTATATTTGCTATGGTATATGAGAAGACAAGTAGGAAGTATACAGTATACAGTATACAGAACTGGGAGGACTGGATATATAAGGACACTTGTTGAATATAAAATATATGGGTTAATATATTGTTCTAATGAGGAAGTGGGTCTGTGCATACCATGGTGTATATAACCAGTCTATCAGCCCCTCAATAGTAGAAGAACAATGAACAACTTAACTTACTTCAACAGGTTATGAGCCTGGCGCGCCTCCACTAAGCCAACGTGCTCTCAATAGATTTGAACTCCACTAAAAAGGGCTAAGCCTCCATTCAAATATAATACCTCTGCTATCTGAGACGCTGATCAATACTGTCTAGGAACCATGAATAAGATATCAACAATAACAAAATAAGGACTCAGGAAGGATGAAATAAGTTATTCTCTCACCGCCAGAGATAAGAATATCCCACTATATAAGTGATTTGATGATATGGCAGATCGCCATATAATCTATCATTAGGTAACGTATCATTTTCAACGATAATGAGATGATAATGTGACAGATCACTGCACCAGGATATCACTGAAGATAAAACTAGAACTCTTGATTCGTCACTGTTACAAAGCTACACCAGAATGGATTTTAAACAACTCCATATCATCTCACCCAGCAATCTTAACAATGTACACTGCTAAGAATGCTGTCTCTCCATCAATGATGGTACCCCCTCAGTCTTTAAAAAGACGAAGAAAAGATGAACAGAAGAGCCACGCTTGGACAAAGAAGGAACTTAATCTTCTTACTCATTTGAAATACTTACATCACTAGTACTACAAACAAATACAGACAGCCCACTTTCCATCACTATCAGTAGGTGCACTTTGCAGAGCCTACTGGCGATTATCCCCCAATGAGCATATGCGCCGAGCGTTAATCATTCCTCCTTCTCTTCACACTCAACCTATATGCTCAACTCTTAAGCATAAACCTTGCTATCTTTATCCTTCTATTTCCGGATCTGAAAATATTTTGTCCACAAGCTCTAAGAACAGACCTATAATTCCAAATCACAGCAACAAGAATCACTATAACCTTCAACCAAATAGACCGACAGCTTTCCCAAGAAGAGCATCACAATACCTAATGGACCGTCTTCGGTTTCCTCACTTTTTCAAATCATATAAGGATCACTTGAAATACGGTTTACCAGATCAAGACTACAATCCTCCGTCTCGTACTCCAACGCCAGAACCTTCTGATCGCAGTCCATCTAACATATCAACTCAGCTCAGCTCAGCATCAAGCTTAGAACTCTTCAGTCTCAAGCCACATTCTCCCAGACCTTTAAGCCTTAAACTATCCACGATATCAAGTCTATCTAGCAACGTGGCAAGCCTAGAATTCCTTAGTGCAGAAGAACATATATCCTCACCATGACTGATCTTGTGAAATTTGAGCAGTTTAGCCTGAATGCATTCTACAATGACATCCCCAAACTTAACAATACCAATGACTGGTTCAAATGGAGCCAGAAAGTCAAAGAGTTCATCCGAATATCTACCATTACTGATGATGGAGCGGCCCCGCCGGAGAACGAAGAAGAAGCACAGAAATGGACTCACCGTCAGAAATTTTACTCTGCAATGATCACGGCCAAGCTGTCGCACGATGCAGCACAACGAATCAGCGCCTTTAACATCACTCGAGTACAACTGCTCCTCAATGCAGTCAAGAACAACTTCAAACCGGAGGGATCTAGAACATATGTACAGCTGCAGAGACGATACATGTCTCTTACAAGAGCAAAGTATAGGAGTGCCCAAGCTCTTGAAGCTAAGATCAGAAAGATTCATGCAGAAAAAATACTCCTTGAGCCTACCTGTGTCACTTCTGAGATTAAGCGAATATTCCTCTTCTTAGAAGCGTTGGGTCCCGACTATGAGAGCTTTCGCGACCATATATTCAGGCAAATGAACATCGTTAACGAAAGGGACGAAAATGGGAACATTACAAAAGCGGCCCCTACATTTGATTCCATTGAAAGCAAAGCGATCGAAGAAGAACATAGAAAGGGACAACTGGCCAAGCAACCAGATACGCAGACACTTCCTACCTTCGCTCTGACACGAAAGTCGGGGGACCGAAAGGTGACGCCGTCAGCAGACGGTACTACATGCCAAATTGAAATTTACAACGCTCCATACTGTTCCTTTTGTCATAAACCCTTTCATCAGGAGGGTGATTGCTTCAAAAAGAACCCAGAATTAAGGGATCAGGGAAAGGACAGCAAAGGACGCAAGACGAAAACTGGTAAATCGCAGACAGACACGCGCAAGTCGTCAAAGAAGCGGTCGAGCTCTGACGATGAAGATGACGATGTGGGTGGCCCAAGAGATCCCAAGAGGCCCACTTTCATGGCAACAAAAGCCTCGGAAGGAGACGTAAATGCTGCGTTTGGGAAAGACATTGAAGGGAATCTCGCGCTTTTTAATCATACTCTCACGATGATGGCTACGAAGACCCTCTCTATCCGCGACGCTTGGATTGTCGACAGCAGATGTGCTCAACACATCTGCAATACCGCCGCTAAGTTTGTTCATATGGAAAAATACTATGGACCACCACTAAGAAGTGTCGACACCTCTACAACCCCATCAGGGATAGGAACAGTGAACATTCTGTGCAACATGCGAGGCAGAAGGAAATAGCTAATGCTTGACAATGTGTTGTTTATTCCATCTACACATACAAGCCTCATATTGGTGCTCTAACTTCTCAAACGAGGAGCAAAAGTCGAGTTCTCAAGCTAAGATGCCAGTATCCGCAACAAATCAAACGGAAAGAATCTGTACACTGCTAGCCAGTATCATAAAGTGTATGCTCTTGATATTTGGATGAACCACAGCTTTCCTATCTATCACGTCAGTCCACAGATGACTCTCTAGCATCATTAACTAGCCCACATGAGCAATGCAAATCTCCATTTAGGATCACTATATATCCTCATATGGTATCTTGATCTTACCACGGTTCCTGTTCGGGATCGTGTCTCATCCGTTTGGAATCGGCACTGTTCCTGATGAGGTTTTACGCAAAGCCGTCGAACCTGTGTAAGCTAAGTCAGATGTTGATCTTAGACTGCAAAAACAAGATTTCAAATCATTTCCATGATTTGCTACTTTCATGCTGGATCACGTATCAATTCCGAAACCTGACCAAGATCATGTAGTGAAACTTTATAAAAACACCTGATAACCTCAACAGGACATCCACCCCAAATTGGAGCGCGTTGCTGCCAAACGGGACAGCCGTACTGACACCAAGTCGTGCTGGCACCAACTTGACCAACAACGACTCCACTAGCACCAACTCAGACTGAGATCGAATAAAAACCATCTCGGAATGACACCAACTCGAACTGACACCAACTCGAACTGACACCAACTCGAACTGACACCAACTCGAACTGACACCAACTCGAACTGATACCAACTTGGAATGAGATCAACTTGAATTGATACCGACTCGAATTAACACTAACTCGAACTGACACTCACTCGAACAAAATTGAATTAACAGACACCAACTCGAACCGATACCAACTCGCGCTGGCCAAGGTTCCCGCATGGTGTCAGTCTGCCTTATAGAATCCCGTTTTATGCCGTACGCACCGTCTTGTGCGGTAAGATATCCCGTTTGGTGCCGTATGCACTGTCTTGTGCSGTAAGATATCCCGTTTGGTGCTGTATGCMCCGTCTTGTGCGGTAAGAAATCCCGTTTGGTGCTGTATGCACTGTCTTGTGCGGTAAGATATCCGGTTTAGTGCCGTATGCACCGTCTTGTGCCGTAAGATAACCCGTTCGGTGCCGTATGAACCCGTCTTGTGCGGTCACGAATCCTTTTGTGTCGTATGCACAATTTGTTGGTATACAAAGAATCGTATTCAGTGCCAACACCACTTCATGTCGGAACAATAAATGGACCAGACGCTGATATTAAACAATAAAATTGAGAKCAAGTACTACTAATTTGTAAACTGACGAGACGAAACAGGCATGTCGAGGCACAATTCTATAATTAGGCGGTTTATCATACTTCCGCCGTTGGCTATATGAGTTCAAATACAGATAATCTTGAGTCTATATCGGCAGGKGATTTTCTCCTCGTTCTCGAGCAGAAGTAAAGGCCATTATCACCAAGTGCCTGTACTCTATTAGCCCACATTCCGGTCGGACACAACATTCTTGGAGAGGCCATACATCAAACCGGGTGCGCGATTGCTACATCGGGAAACAAATTCATCGGGCTCATGCTGATATGATCAGTGCTATACCGGGCATGGGCTAGGACAGACTGCTGTCTCTCTTTATTGAGCAAGAATTGTTATTCACTCTCAAACTTACCGGGACTTCATTATAGTTATTTACGCAATAGGTAATGGAGTAATGGTATCACTTTGAGTACACACTTGGTCTTAACTGTCCATGACAAGAATCTAGAACAGATATAAAATTCAACGCATAGTCTTTGTCCACCGCTTTTCCTGGCCGCGTCATTACAGTTACTACTTCGGTACTTAAGTCACAATGGAAGAACAATTTCATCTTCTGGATCTACAAATCGCGAAGTTTACGGAATTTGGTGTATGTATATTACTACTTCGGTACTTAAGTCACAATGGAAGAACAATTTCATCTTCTGGATCTACAAATCGCGAAGTTTACGGAATTTGGTGTATGTATGATTCTTCCTGAAGCAGCAGAYTTGGACYATCTACGCAAGAGTAGTGAACGGCTGGCTGAGCAGTGGCCCATTCTGGGGGCGCGAATCARCCTAGTGGTGAGTCCGTTACCTCGTGTTTAAAACGGACGTGATTTGATTYCACATTACAGGATTATCAGCCTCGGTACCACGGCAAGATCTRCGTGAACTTTCAATCGAAGACCTGTGCTTACTCGTTGGATGAGTATCTTCCCGGGTTGAACCATGATTCGTCCACCCTCGMCAGTCCAGTTGATACCTTATTTGACTTTCCGGTTTCCTGGAGAGACATGATAGCCCCTCCCGTTTTATCGATGTCAGCCATCGCACTGCGCGATGCATGCCTGCTGAAGATATCCGTCCAGCATGCCCTMTGTGATGCAACTGGTACTTTCTAAYCATGCGATTTACGGTGGAGTTTTCTCATGTACTTCTACAGGTCTTCACAACATCGTACAGGCGTACTGTGCGCTACTGCRGAGAGAATCAGTCAAGTCTCTTAACTCCTCGATCGGCCATCAAKTTGCTGRACGAAAGCGCCCGCATCATGCCAGATTCGCTGACGGCACRATCAACAAGTGCACGCCTCGCGCAGTTCCAGATCACTTCATCCCGAGTGGGTTGGYGGTCAATCTTGAGTACCTTCCTCAAGAGTGCCTTATTCAAGCCCAAGCACAGGAAAACCTTTCGTATGCCGGTCTTGAACGACAATCAGCYGGTTGAAGCCCGAACCGCCAATGGAAAGGTGACTGCGCACGACTTGCTAATGGCATATCTCTGGAAGGTCTGTGGGACCGTC